AAATCTAATCCTTAATATGATGGTAATTGGAAGTGGGGCCTTTGGAAGGTGACTAAGTCATGAGGGTGGAGCCCTCCTAAATGGAAGTAGTGCCCTAAAGGGCTCCCTCACCCTTTTCACCAAGTGAGGACACAGGAATCAGGAAGTGGGCCCTCATCTGACAGTGAATCTACTGGCACTTTGCATTTTCCAGCCACCAGAATTGAGAGAAATAAATTTCTGTTTATAAGCCACCCAGTCTATGGTAGCTTGTTATAGCATCCCAAACAGAATAAGACACCTGCATACATATGAAATTATATGCATATATTGTGGCATTGTTTGTAACAATAAGAGTTTAGAAATAATTTGGATATCTGCCTACAACGACTGGTTAAATAAACTATGGTATATCTTCACAATGAAATAATATGCAAATGTAAAAACGAACAAGGAAGGTCTCCATATACTGGTATGGAAAGGTTTCCAGGACATATTATTAGATTTTTAAAAAGCCAGATGCAGAAGAATGGATATAATGTTTCCTTTAGTGTAAGGAAGGAGGAAAAAAATACAAATATATATATAGTTGTCCCTCTATATCTGCAGGGGATTGGTTCCAGGATCCTCCACACCCCGCTACACACACACCAAAATCTGAGGATGCTCAAGTCCCTTGTGTAAAATGGTGTGATATTTTCATATAATCTATGTACATCCTCCCATCTACTTTAAAGCATCTCTAGATTACTTATAACACTTCATACAATGTATATTCTACATAATTGGTTATACTGTATTGTCTAGGGAATAATGACAAGAAAAAAAAGTATGTACATGTCCAGTACAGATGCAACCATCACAACCATTATAGTCCTAAATATATAGTACGTGACAGCAATATAATTTTTTTTAACTGCTGTTGGTTGAATTGTGGGTGCAAAGCCTGTGGATACAAAGAGCCAACTGTATTCTTATTTATTTTTACTTGCATAAAGGAACACTTGTGTATACACCAAGCAAATAAAAGTGATAAACTATAGTGGCGTCCAAGATAGATGAGGTGGGAGCAAGACTTATTAATGAATACCATTTGTATCATTTTTATATGTGAACCGTATGAATGCATTACCTATTTTTTAAAAATATAGTACTCAGGTCTCCCCAGGTCAATTCAATGAGTCTCTTGCGATGGGGCCTGGGCATTTTATTTTTTTATGCTGCCCAGGTGATCAAAAGTTCAGCAAGGCTTCAGAGTTACTGCTTTAGGTCTCAGTCTCAGAAGAAACATGGGATCAGAGAAGGAGTTTTTGTGTTGTGGATGTGGGTAGTAGTTGGCCTTTGCTCTGTGTTCTAGAACTCTAGTGGCTCAAGTCACTCTGGTGGCTCATGTCACCCCGTATGGATGGAATACTACACTAGATGAGGGAGCTCCATCTGGGATAAATATTGACAGTGCTGTGGGATATAACAATAGATCATGTACCAGGCTGTCTGAGGCTGAGCACTATGAAATAGAGAACTGGCCAGAAATAGAGATGGCGTAAGATGAAAACCAATACTGAATTGACTTATCAGGAGTGTGTGATTGTAATCAGGAACCTTTTTCAGAGATGAGAAAGTCTATCAGAAGTTGTGATAGTGACCCTAACAAATCCTGGATCACACAGAGAGCAAGACAAAAGGCACACATTCAATATAGAAGATTTTTGGTCTAAAGATGGCAAACAATGGTCCATGGGCCAAATCCAGCCCACTGACTGTTTTGTATGTACTGTGAGCAAAGAATGGTTTTACGTATTTAAATGGTTAGGGAAAATCGAAAGAAAGGTATTTCATGACACATGAAAATTATGTGAAATTCAAATTTCGGCATCCATAAATAAAGTTTTATTGGATCTAGCTACACGCACACTCATTGGAATAAAGCCACATATATAGTCTATGGCTGCTTTCCTAATACAATGGCAGTTGAGTACTTGTGACAGAGACCATATGTGGCACTCCCATCCCTTTGCACTACTGCTCAACTTGGCGCACTACAAATTGCTGTGACACAGTTACAACTCAACAGTGTTTCAAATGCTACATATTGTCATTGTACCACAGTGTTTTATTTTCTTATTCCCAGGGCACATTCATTGTCAAAAGAAGATAAGTGGACTTTGAATAGCATACCTTTTAAGGCAACATGGAGTGTAGATTATTTGGTTATTGAATTAGATGGCAAAGCATTGTGTTTATTATTCAGTGACACTGTATCTGTGCTAAAAGAACGCAATATATATTAACTTAGGCTAAGCAGTCATAGCATTCCCAACTCAAAGGAGAGCAAGTCAAAAAAAAAAAAAAAAATTCAAGTGGAATAGTTCACCAGAATTTCCTCACAAAAATAAAAAACGAAAATGAAGTTGCAATCAAAGGTTTCCAAGTGTCTCATTTGTTAGCCAAAGAAAGCTGCTTATTGATGCTGAGTTAATTAAACTATTTGATTTTAACAGCCAAAAAAATGCATCTGGAGAAAAGAAACTTGTCTTGAACTCTTAGTCATTCAGTTAGGGCAGTTGCTTAGACTTGAGGAAATTAGGAGCACTATCAATTATGTTTTTAATTGGCTGAATTAAGTAAAACAATGTATTATTTGAAGTTTTGTGAATTAAAATTACTGTATAAATTAGGTATTATTGAGTTCTTCGGTTAAGTAAAAGATGACTCAGATTTGAGTCTGCAAATTAGAATAACAGCAATATTATTGACAGAAAAGGGGAAGCTGAAAGGCAAAGTTTAATCCAAATGGAAGACTAAACAGAGAGGGAGATATGAGGCTAAACTTTAGGTCCAAACATTTATTTTAAGTACATTTAATATGTTAGTAACAGGAAACAATGGCACAATCTCTTTAACCTTACTAAAACAAACTTTCAGTTTTCTCCGGCTTCTTTCCATTTTCATCCACCTACATTCAAAAACCATTTACTAAGTATGTATTATGTTCTGGGTACTGTGCTAGGCAGTGGAGATACAAAAAAATAACACTATAATCTGCCTCCAATATGATCAGATTAGGAAAAGAGAGACACTTTTAAACAATTACAATAGAATGGGATAAAAATTAATTTTGGCTGTGACCGCAGTGTTTGCATAGTAATCATAGGGTGTGGTCACTTTTTGTTCTAATGGAGTCGCTAATGAGGAGGTGACCCCTAAAGCTTTCATGGCGGCCTGCCACAGGAGAAGCTGTAGAAAAGTTAAGGCTGGGCTTCTACATGTAGAGACTGGAGACTAAAGTGCCACAGAAAGAGACTGAGGAGGTATATTTGGAGAGGTGAAAGAAATTGTTAGTGTTCCAGAAGCTGGGAGGGGCGGGAAAGGAGTCTTTCCAAAAAGAGATTTTCAGTATAAACACATAAGGCCAGGTGAAAAGAAAAATGATGGATTCGATGAACATCACTAATGATCTCCAAAGACCAGTTTCAGGCAAAGTCAGGGTAGAAGCTAAACAAAGAAGGCTGAGCAACAAGTGAGTGATGAAGTGGGAAAATATGGTAGTGAAAAGCAAGTAGAAAATCAAACAGAGATTTTTTCTCCCCACCTTCAACCACCCATTTTAAGATTTGCACACTTTGTTTTTAGGCTATGGAAGTAGAAGTCCAGGAAGAGGCTGAATAATAATGAAAAACTCTTATACGATGTTTAATATGTGCCAGGCACTATTCTAAACACTTTACACGTATTAGCTTGTTTAAAAATCCATGAGGCATGGATGGAATGATTAAGTAAGTGGCCCAAAGTCACTCAACTAGTCAATCAACTGAGCCAGTTTTTGCAGCCAAGTAGTAAGCTTCAAATTCTGTGCTATTCAAATTGTACCTGGGACTAATACAACATTTAAGTATTTGGGGGATTGAGGAAAACGTGCTTATTTATGCTAAGTCACAAAAGGCACTAGACATTGACCCTTTAGTTTGCCTTAGAATGGACATCACCTATCAACCTATAGTCTAGGATATGTTCAACCTGAGGGAGGGGAGGGGAGGGAGTGTGCAAACGGTCAAAATGAAATTACACTGACAGACGGATCTAAGTATGAGTTTGTACGGCCTGCGACTCCCTTTTTGGATATGCTTTGTCTGACCAGTTCCGGGGGTGGTGCTACTAATAATGGGGCACCAGTAGCCTGGAGGTTTCTCTCAGTAGTCATTCATTCAACAAATATTTGAGCATCGACTCAGAGGTGAACAAGACGAACAACAGTCCTACTCTCTTAATATTTACATTCTATTTGGGAGTGGGGAGCAGAAAGGCTAGGAGGCCACTACTGGAGAGGGGTAAACAAGTGGGAATGAAAGATTAATTCGGAGAAGCAGGCAGGCGAGGCCTTGAGGCCACAAACGAGAGATGTTTGTATTTTACTCGCATCAATTCAGCACCAGTGAGGGCCAGGTTACCCCAGGCTGTACTTCCTAGACCACTTATCCTGGCAATCCAACCTTCGCAAACCCTACTTGTGCCTTTCGGGTCACCTGGCCACTCCGGGTCCCTTAGCCTACCAAGCCACCCGGGCCAGTGTCACCTAGTCCCTATCTGGTGGTCGCTTCAGCCCCCGCGATCAAAATCTTCCTGCGCCATCTCAGCCCATCCGGGGCTGTCTGCCCGTCGTTCTCCCTTAGCGCGGGTCCCCTTGGCTGGCTAGGTAACCTCAGTGCCACGCCTCCCAGGCTGGAGATTCGCCTAGCACGTTACGCTTTGTTCCCAGAGCTGGTTTTCGAAATGCCGCTCCCTCTCAGATCCAGCTGTTTTCCTGCCAGCGCCGGGAGACTCAGCTGCAACAGCGCCCCCAGCGTCATACCGCAGCCCAGGAAGAGAGTGTCCGCCACCGCTGATTCCTCCGCCTCCTCCCGGAACGCGGGAGCCAGCCCAAGCGGCGCACGCCCCGACCGTCACGACCGCCCTCCTGATTGGCTGAGCCGCGCGACGTCACGGGGAGGATCCTGGCGGCAGCTGGGATCTGAGCTTGCGCTTGCGCAGTTAGAGTGCGCTGAGCGGAGGGGGAGGTGGCCGGCTGCTTCTCCCGCGTCCGCCATCTTGTTGCTGTGGCTCTTGGGAACCGGCTGGGCGAAACCGCCCTGGAGGCGCGACGTTCCTTGAAGTCTTGTGCTTGGTGTAGCAGCGGGGGTCAGTGCAGAGCCGTGGGGGTGCGGAGCCGACGCGTTTCAAGCCAGGAGTGACTGGAGGCACCCCTGGTACGCTGGGAAGTTCGAGAATCCCGGAGCGGCCTCTGCTGCTGCTCGGTTTTGCCCGCCCCGACCTCGGGCTCTGCCCACCATTCCCCGAGCCGGCTCCCTCCGTGAGGCGGCCCCGGACCAGGCGAGCGGGGGCAGAGGATGCTGCGGGCCCGGAGCCAAGTAGAAGGTGCTGGCTGGGCCCACTAAGAGCGCCTCAAGGTGTGCCGAGAGGCCCTTCTTCGGTTCCAAAGCCGTCTGCCGGGTCAAGGCATCCAGAGCAGGCGAGAGCAGCCGTCGCCCGGACCCGCCCCAGAGCCCCGGCCCAGCACCATGTCTTCCGCCAGGTTCGACTCCTCAGACCGCTCCGCCTGGTACATGGGGCCGGTGTCTCGCCAGGAGGCGCAGACCCGGCTCCAGGGCCAGCGTCATGGCATGTTCCTAGTCCGTGATTCCTCCACCTGCCCAGGGGACTATGTGCTGTCCGTGTCTGAGAACTCCCGGGTCTCCCACTACATTATCAACTCGCTGCCCAACCGCCGTTTTAAGATCGGGGACCAGGAGTTTGACCACTTGCCAGCCCTGCTGGAATTCTACAAGATTCATTACCTGGATACCACCACCCTAATCGAGCCCGCGCCCAGGTAACGCGAGCACCCCTGCTCTCCCCGCCGCAACCCACTCCGACCCCCGAGGAAGGTCAACAATGGCCGGGTTGGTTCGTTTGAGGTCGATCCAAGAGTGTGTGTATGGGGGGTGTGTGGTTGAACTCATTTTCTCCTATTCTGAACCAAATTATTTTCCAGAAGGTATTCGAAGGAAAGGCTAGTGTCAGGATCTGGGTCGCTGGGTGAGCGGGATGCGTCTTAAAACAGGATTAACCGCGGTTGCATATTAAAATGTACGCTTTTTGCTTTTCGTTATGTTCTGTAATTGGTTATCAGACTAAAGCAGGGTTTTGTTGTTTTGGTCTTTTTAACCTTTTTTTGGACCACAGATTTCCTTGAGACTCTAGATAGCCGTGGCATCCTCCCCCCTAAAAAATGCCCTTAGACACACATTTGCACACCATTCGAGGTTCTTGGACTCTGCAGGTCTCTGAACTCCTGGACTACAGCCTTTGGAACAATTGACAAAAGAAAATGCTTTAGCATTTAGAAACAAAAACCTTTAACTGAAATGTCAGAACTGTCTATATTGATACTTTGGTGCCAGATATGAAGTAAGCCAGACTCTTTCTATTTTATCATACATTAATTAAAAGTTTTAAACGATAAGAGCTTTTTTTTTCTTTTTCTTTTTTTTTCTTTTTTTTTTCCCAAGCTGGGCCAATAGTAGACAAAAAAATCCATTTGGTTAAAGTCCAAAGAAGAATAAGGCTAGAATGTTTACCTACTAAGGGAAATTTTTGAATGACACTTATTTTAATTCTATCTTAGTTCAGTTTTAGATGTGCTTTTTGTATTAAGTCTAATGATTTAGTATCTATTTTAAAGTTAACCAAAGGTGACACTGAACATCAAACATCCCCTTTTCCAAGTAAAATATTCTTTCATTTGATTATTTGCTTTAATTTGCCTTAATTAGTATCGTGGCAGAGGTTTCTTTTATTTAAATTATGCCAATTGTGAGCTGAAGAAATGGCCTAGAATTTTAAAAGTAAATGGTATTTCACTGCCCAGTTTGTTTCTTAAACATCTATTTTAAAAGGACAGGAAATTTTGGGTGATGAGATATTTCTGATTTTATAGATTCACTGACAGGATATTACTCTGAGCTTTAAACATTAAAAGCTGTTATATTTAAACATTAAAAGCTGTTATAATTAAGGAGCATCCACTGGATGCCAAGCTTAAGTGTTGCTTCCATAGAATAGAGAAGAAACAAAGCCATGACAGTATAATGACTATAAGATTAACTACTGAACTAAATGGACTTTAAAAACTGGGGGAAAGTGATTATAAATCAAGTACTGTGTAACAAAGACCTAGACAGCAAGAACCTGATTGGTGAAACCTACAGGTCCCTGAAGATGCTGGTAATTGGACTCAACTTTGAGCACAATATAAGGGGTTGGGGAGAATCTTAGAACCCACTGTAATGAGATTTTGTAATATGTTTAAGTAAATAAATTCCCTAACTTGGGAAAGTGAATCATATCATTAATTTCAGGCATTTATTAAGCCATGCTATGTGCAAGGCATTGTGCTTGCTTTGAGTTGATAGGTATTACAGCCATTTCAAAAAGCATAAGTAAATGACTTGATCCCCTTCTAGAGAGAGAAAAAGGAATATGGTTTAGTGGCTTCCCGATACCCACAAAAAAAGACTCCAAATTTTCTATACTGTCTCCTTAGATACCAAATCTTCAAATCTGTCCTTACCCCCTCTCCTCTTTCTTTTAATGTAGCCATTAGTCTGTTCACTCATTCTCACAAAACCTTTGCTGTCTCTGTTGACTCTTCATTTGACTAACTCTACCCACTCCTCACCTATTGAAATCCTTCCTGTAGTTCCAGGCCCCTCACAAATAATAAGGCCTCTCCCTGACCCTCCCCCTCACATTCGACTTTGTTTCTTTTTCCTTATGCCCTCCGCCCCAGGCATGTTGCTGTAATTTAGTTTTTCATTTTCCCTTATATCTCAGAGGGCTTTCACAATGCTGGTTGAATTATATAATGACTGGATGTACTTTGCTGTACTGAGTCTTTGGAGTGCCTCTCCCAAGCCTGAAATTCATGGATTTGGTTTGATATGTTATTAGCCTTTGTAGAAAACTAGAGGCTAGTGAAAGCTAGGCCAGATGCAAAATTCAGTGTAAAGCTTCTCTGCGCCCCAAACAGAATAAATGTAAGTGGCTTCGTTTTTAGGCATCAAAATAGTTCTTAAAAGCCAAAATTTCATGCCCCTTGGCCAATAGTTTATGTTGTTTATTTTGCTTAGCAGAAGGTCATAACTTTGTCTTTCTCAGAATTTAAGAATTGGTGCTAGTTTTGTTCTAGTGTGATTTTTTTTTTAATTGAAGTGTTCCTTAAATTTTAATTTTATATTTTTATTCAAATATTTACAAGAGAATTTTGTCCCAGTGATAAATACTGGGAAAGATAGGTGACATACTTTCGTCACTATGGAATTTATATTTTAGTGGAGGAGCAGACTAAAAAGTAGAAAAATAAAACATGAGATTAATAAATGCTATGAAAGAAGTAAATCTAGGCCAAGAGACTATAATAGAAGGGATTTACCTGAGGTACTGCAGTTAGAGAAAGCGTGAAACTACCTAAGGGTAGAGAAGGAAAGCAAGCCTGGGAAATTTCGGCTTGCACTAAAGAGAAGAGCTTTCCGAGGAGAGGGAAGAACTTAGGCAAAGTCCTGCGATGAGAAAGCCAGCCAGTATGTTGGGAGTGTGGTTCTTAAAGGAAGAGGTCATATATGAAGAGTTTGGAGATAGAATGATCAAGATAAGGAAATTGGATTTTTTTTTAAATACGATGGTTGCCATGGGAGAGTTTGAAGCAAGGGAATGACCTGGGGCTGTTACTGTAAAGCAGGTGCAAAATGATGATTTTTTTTGACATGTATGTCATGTATGTCATGTATGTCATGTCATATAGACATCATATAGACTGACATAGCTATGGCTTGTAGGTGCCTAT